TGACTTCTTGGACTGGAGAGCAAGCTAAGAGAGAGAGACAATTACACGAGAAAAAGAATCTAACTAGTTACAACAATCCTTTTAGTGGTTTCGCTAACAGATAATCAGTTTTGATATGTGCTCAATCCGGTGAGTAAATAAATCCGGTAAGTTATCCGGTGAGCAAGTCAATCCGGTGAGTGGTGAGGATATACGGTAAGTAATATGAAATCCGGTAACTTCAGCATATTTTAACATCGGGCAACATTTAAGATTTTCGATCAATAAGTTCTGTTTAATGTTCAGCCTGAAATATGATGGAGATAGTAACTTGAACACGTTTGGTGTGGGGGCGCTACAGATTGAAGGAAATTTATTTCAAGAATCTAAAGAGTGTCTACAGGAAAGACGTTGAAGACACGTTTCTCAATCTCCGTCAAAACACGCCTGATGAAGACGTTGTGAAGTTGGCGATACTGTACCTTGTTTCATCTTCCCTATTCACTAACGCACAGCCTAAGAGTTTGGTCTCCGATGCATTGATGCGCTTCATGGACTCCCCAGTAATGGACACATTCCCGTAAGGTATGGAGCTGTTCCAAAATACGTATGCCTACTTAAAGTTTGCATTCTACAAGATCCACATATCTGAAAGAATATGGAACGAGAAGACTAAACATATCCGCCATGTACTTCACAAAGATAGTCTCTAAATCCATTTTTGTATGAAACAATTATTTTTGAATAGTTTAAAGGGTTGACAGTGTTGTTTAATATCACATAGTCGGTTCATGAAACCTTATAGTATATCGTTCAATGATATACACATATGCATGGATTAAAAGAAGGGGAACAAATCTTCTAGTGACATGCGAAAATAAATCTTGTAATATGTATATAATAACACGGTGAGGATCATATAGCTGCATAATGACATTACAATAATGTATTATTCCAACACTCTTATAGAGAAGATAGAACATTACATTACACAAATGGATGAAAAATGATGTAAGAAAACGGAAAATTAACATGTTCTAGCTTGCTACTGTAAAATTCAGCAACAGGATGAATTCTACATATGAAGTAACATCATAATTTTCAATTGAAAACATGTATGTGATATTTCAATACGCAAGACGAATTTAGACAAGAAAACCCATAGAATATGGAAATTGATTCATCAATTTACTCACCAACAATTAGAAGATGTCGACAGTTGCAGGGAATGAGAAATTCGTGAATCAACCTCTCGGGTGAGCTTAGGCCATCTTTAGTGCTGCACCAAAATTTGCACTATTTTGCACCAAATTTTACACCAAACTAAAGTTCATCTCCAACCATTACATCAAAAGTTACACCAAATGAACAGTATTAAATCATTTTCTTCTCTTTTTTTATTCTTAGTAATTTATTTATTCGAAATATTATTTATTTTGTTATATTTTAAATTTTTTATNGTTATATTTAAAAAAAATTTTATTCTTATTTTAATTAATTCAGTAATTATTATTTTCAACATTTAAAATTTATTTTCAATGCTAAATAATAAAAACAACAACAACAACAATAATAATAATAATAATTGTATTAAAAATTATATAAAACAAATGACAAATATTCTCAAACAATTCTTTTGACAAATGAAAAAAGTGGGCAAATTAGACTTTGCACCATTTTGGAAAAATGGTGCAAAATTTGGTGCTATATAGGAGCACTTTTGCACCAAATTTTGGTGAAATTTGATTTTTTTGGTGTTGCCATTGGAGATGCCCTTAAGTATGATACACATTTGAAATTCCTATGATTTGGGAAGAGACATTAAATGCAAACGTGATGAATGCTTATTTAAAGAATTTCAGTTACAAGAAGTGGATTGGAGTCTAATTTTAGGAGGTAGTATAATTTACATAAAATATAGTATATTATATATTTCATACATTAGTATTTCGTGAAATATTTTATTATAATAAGGCAGATATGATTTTTTCCGGTTTTGTTATGTAACATTAGTGTCCTCTGTTTTATAGGTCATAGATCTCTAGCTTATTTCGAGCAAACTATACTTCACACAGCCCACTAATTTTTTTGGCCTTTTCAAAAAATAAATAAGTTATATGTTAAGAAATAGTAAAATTTTGTTCAAGACATCACTGTCCTTAAACAAGGCGAGTTGTATCGGTCATAGTTCTTGTGAGCCTTGAGCCAACGGACACTCTGCTTTTAGGTGGTCTAACTAGGGTTCAAATGCACTAATCAAGATGTCCGTCACACCAATATTGGTGCACAATATCTTGAGCACGGTTAGAACCATGTGCACTATGATGTGGCGAAAGAGTAATTGATTTTATTATTTTATATTTTTTTGTGTAATGATAAGAATCCTTTTTTACGGGATTTTGCCCTTGCTCATCTATATTGTTTTCTTTAAAAGAGTTGGTGCTTGCCTTGTCTTGGGCCTTATTCTTTCGCATTCTCGACGTTTCGAATTTAAATCTTTCGTTAAGAAATACACTTAATTGAATACTAATATTATTTGGAATTAGGGTTGGACAAAAACAAATTCGAACAAGTCAAATCAATCAACTCACCCCAAACCAATCGATTTGGATTGGTTTTCTAGTTCAATTGGGTTGAGTTCGGTTCAGTTCAAGTTAGAAAATCAAGTTTTAGGTTGGGTTGGATTCCGGGTTATCTATTAAAACTCAATCAATCCCAACCCAACCCAATAATTTTAAAGATATTAAAAAGAAAATTAGTACTTAAAACCAAAAAATGATCAAAATTCTTCTCTACCTCATGTCTCTTCTGCTTCTTGTCTCTCGTGCCTCTCATTATTGCTTGTGCCTAGGTTTCCCGACTCGATTTTTGACATGATTGTTGACTAAACACTTGGATTGAAAGAAGAGATTTTGTATTGATTTTGGAAGATTTAACGTTTTTAATATTTAGGTTGAATTCATTTTATTCAGTATGTATAATATGCGGTATTCAACATGTATTTAGATTGATTTAATATGTATTTAATTTGATCATGGTGTAATTTATTTAACAAGTTTTATAATATTTTTAATTTATATTGTTCTATTGAAATGAAATTTAACCCCACGGACCATTGATCCTACTTCAAACATTTCAAATCACCATTTTTAACGTAACTAAAATTGGTCCAATTGAAATTATATTAAACTTTAAAATAATTGTTCAAATTCAAAGTAAAAGACCCTAACCATTCTGTCCATAAAAAAATTGTCCAATTTGAATTGGACTCAAATCCAAATCAATCAATCAAATCCAACTCAAACCAAAGTTTGGTCGGTTTGGATTGTATTGTGTTTCAATCGTGAATGTGTTGGTTTTGATTGAATTATTGTCAAACCGAACATATTGGATTGGACTCAAAACTAATCCAACACAACTCGCGCCTAGCCCTATCTAAAATAGCTGTCTACAAAAAAAGATTGAACACGAAATGGCAAACCATAAAAGTTGACGATATTGCCGAGTAAGTTATCCTCCAAATGGTGAGTTATTCAAATACAGTAAAGCCACCCAAATAGGCTTGGTTGACAGGGTTTGGAAACCAACGAGACATGGCAGATTGTGATTCGCCTGTTTTATTTTAAAAATTTCCATCTTCCAATGAATTCCTTCTAACCGTGTCTGTCAAAAAAAGCCTGTTAATATTCCCTGTTTTTCTAGCATAACTCATTCAAATATGCGTAGTGAAAAAAATTACTTAAAAACATGAGTTTGCTAATTTTTAGGCTTAGAGCTTGTTTGGGAAGGATTAAAATCGGATTAAAATTAAAAAAACTAGCCGTTATTGTTGACTTTTATTAGACGGGTGAGATCCAATAACGACTATATTTTTAATTTTAATTAGGGTCCGTTTGATTGCAAGGGTGGAAAATGGGTGGAAAGAAAATGTTTTACAGAGAATTGATTTTCTTATAAAATGTTTTACTAGAAATTGTAATTAATTGTGTTTGATTTGTATAATTTTTCATGGAAAATATTGAAAATTTGGTGTCCACTTGACTTCGTTTTTTATGGAATTTGTCCATTAAAATGATAATTTTTTCTACTATTGAGTCTAAATTTGTTCTCATTGTCAAAAAAAAATTTTGATCATGGTATAATTTATTTAACAAGTTTTATAATATTTTTAATTTATATTGTTCTATTGGAATGAAATTTAACCCCACGGACCATTGATCCAACTTCAATCGACTTAAAACATTTCAAATCACCATTTTTAATGTAACTAAAATTGGTCCAATTGAAATTATATCAAACTTTAAAATAATTGTTCAAATTCAAAGTAAAAGACCCTAACCATTCTGTCCATAAAAAAATTGTCCAAATTTGAATTGGACTCAAGTCCAAATCAATCAACTAAATGCAACTCAAACCAAAGTTTGGTCGGTTTGGATTGTATTGTGTTTCAATCGTGAATGTGTTGGTTTTGATTTGAATTATTGTCAAACCGAACATATTGGGTTGGACTCAAAACTAATCCAACCCAACCCGCGCCTAGCCCTATCTAAAATAGCTGTCTACAAAAAAAGATTGAACACGAAATGGCAAACCATAAAAGTTGACGATATTGCTGAGTAAGTTGTCCTCCAAATGGTGAGTTATTCAAATACAGTAAAGCCACCCAAACAGGCTTGGTTGACAGGGTTTTTCCACAAACGTGACGTGGCAGATTGTGATTCGCCTGTTTTATTTTAAAAATTTCCATCTTACAATGAATTCCTTCCAACTGTGTCTGTCAAAAAAAGCCTGTCGATATTCCCCCTTTTTCTAGCATAACTCATTCAAATATGCGTAGTGAAAAAAATTACTAAAAACATAAGTTTACTAATTTTTAGGCTTAGCAAACACTTGTTGTCATTTCTTCAAAATTCTAAGCAAACTCCTTTCAAAGAGAAAATTCTGTAAAACCCTACTGAAACCCTCTCTAACCAATTTTTTATCCACCGCTCCTTTCAGCTACGAAATAGCATAAGTTATTCATGCACTTCCTCCCCCTCCTCCGTGGCCACCACCACCACCTCTTCTTCCAGCAGCGCCGCGCCCTCTACGACTCCGTAGCCTCCATAAAATGCGTCCGGGACCGGGGCCTAGACCACGCAGTAGAACGGGAAAGGCACCTCAAACCCGTTATCAACCTCAAAAACCTTATAATTTCCGAGCCCTCAAAGTCACTTCCACTCTCCATAATCGCCCAATCCGAAGAAGCACTCCAAATCCCTTTTCGATCGATTGAGTTTATCCGAAAATACCCCTCAATTTTTCAAGAATTTCATCCGGGAAACCTTAATATCCACCCCCACATCAAACTCACTCCAGCAACCCTCGCTTTGAATTCTGAAGAAAATTTACTGTACCAAAGTGTTAATTACAAGCAAGAAATCGCGGGACGTCTATTGAAGTTGTTGATGTTATGTAGAGTATATAAATTACCGATTAGTTTGTTGGAAAGGCTGAAATGGGAACTGGGTTTGCCTGGGGACTACGAGAAATTTGTAATTCCCGAGTTCCCGGATTATTTTCGGGTGATTAGTGGGAATAGTTTTGAAAATGGAAAGATGCTTGAGTTGGTTTGTTGGAATGATAAGCTTGCAGTTTCAGAGATGGAAAGGAAGGCAGTGAAAAATGGGAAGAATGAATTCTGTTTAAAGCATTCAAATGGGTTTGAGATGGATAAGAAGTATAAGAAGTGGGTAGATGAGTGGCAGAAGTTGCCATATGTATCGCCATACGAGAATGCAATGCATTTGGTGGCAAAAAGTGATGAGGCGGACAAGTGGGCGGTGGCGGTGTTGCATGAAGTGCTTAGTCTTTTTGTTGGGAAGAAGGCAGAGAAGGAGAATTTGCTTTATTTGGGGGAGTTTTTAGGGTTGAGATCGAGGTTTAAGAGTACCTTACTGCATCATCCAGGCATTTTCTATGTGTCGAGTAAGATCAGGACACATACAGTTGTTTTGAAGGAGGCGTATAAGAGGGGAATGTTGATTGAGAGGCATCCTTTGATGCAATTAAGGTTTAAGTATGCTCACTTGATGAACGCTATGAAAGAGGAGAACAAAACCAAAATTGATCAGCAAAAAACTGGTAGTGATTTGAAGAGTGGTGAAGGGGAAGTTGAGGGTGATGAAAGTGGGGAGGAAGAAAATGAAGAGATATGTGACTTATCTGATGATTACGAGGAGGAGGAGGAGGAGGAGGAGGCTGAGAGTGCAAATAAGAGAGGAAGGTCGAGTCGGATGGCTGCGAAATTTGGAGAGGACAACGGTAAAAGGGGTGTGGTAAGGAGGCTAGACGGAAGAAATTCCGGAGGAACTGTCGGTAGAAGTTCAACTAGATTCTCTGGAAGAACAAATAATCGTGATGATCGGGTTTCCCCTAGAAGATCCCCAAAAAGATTAGATTTATCAGGAAATAGGGCGAGGTCTAAAAGAGAAAGGAGGACTCCCACATAGTGGACATGCAGCTACTTAAATAAGCAGCTTCATGAAATAGGTTTGTTTTTCTTATGGAAATGTATGAACAATAATATATTTTGAATGTCATAAGTCGATGTTTTTGTTGTTTCTTCTAGGGTGGTTTTCTTATAATGTTTTTGTTGCTCATTTTTTATAATTAGTTGTAAACGTATTCTGGTGTAATATCAAGAGTCCACTGCTTGAATTCACAAAATTTTGTGGCCTTGTTAGTTATACTATGTGATAAATGCATATATTTGCTTATAAATCTTCAGTCATTCTAAAAGGTTTTTGCACTCTTGAAAGTAGTATTGTTTGATGAACCTCTGCTTTTTCCTCCCTTCTTTTTGTTTTTTTTTTGGCTCTATACAAATTAAATCTCTCTTCCTACATTCTGAATTTACAGTGAACTCCAGCTTCCTTTATTGTTACTTCAAATTGTAAACCCCTCCAGATTAAGGGATTTATATATATCCTCCTGACTATTTTGTCCGTGAACATAAAAAAATAGTTTACAGAGGAAAAGGAAATTTAGTCAGGAGCCTGTCATTGCTGCAGGAAGAAGTAAATCTATGGATGTGATGTCTTGGGGGTAAAATGCGAAATTAGCTCTTTACCAGAGGGAGAGGTGCAAACAGAACTTGTGAAAAATTAAACAATACCTGTATCTCTGATTTGATAATTTGTAACTGTTAATGTTTCGTAATTGTCAAGGAATAGAATCCTACGTCGAATAAAGATGTAAACATAAACCAATTTATAAAGGATTGTGTTACTCCTCTTAATAGGTTAACATTTTAAGATGGAACCCAAATTCTTAACATGATATCAGAGCCCATTAAGCTCTAACGAGCAATTCGATCCGGTTAAGACTCCAAATGTGAGCATAAGGATTTCAAAATTGGTCTGCTCAAACGAGATACCATCTTGCGGAAGCAACACATCGAATAAAGATGTAAACATAAACCAACTTATAAAGGATTGTGTTACTCCTCTTAATAAGGTTGATCTTTTAAGATGAAAGTCAAATTCTTAACACTAATGAATATAGTGCCTGCAGATAACCTGGTGGCAGGGAGCATAATCCCAGCAATGCTCCGGCTGCTGTTAAAATCCTTTGCTTTCAGTCTCGAGCTCTTAGATTGGTAGATTTATACTCTTAGCCATAATTTACTTTTGATGCAGTTCAAATATTCTCCTGGTAAAAGATCTGCTTGTGAAGAATAAGCCTTTGTTTCATCCCCGTTTATTAAAACTCATTTTTCCCTCGAACTTACTTTCGACCACATATTTTATGGGACCCACAACTTTTATCAACTTTTCAGCCACACATTTCATGATACTAATAACTTTTATCAACTTTTCATCTACACATTTAATCAATTTTTATCAAAATTTACTAAAAAAATTTGATCTTCGGCAAAACCAAAGGCCAAGGAAGCTTTGAGTAGATTAGCTGCATGGGATGCCAAATGCTTTATTGGTTGTTGGCGAACCGGTTAGCATGAGACAATCCATTGGTAGTTTGTTCCCACAATGTCTGGTAGTAGTTAATAGTTAGTAGCAGTGATTGGCAAATGAAGTCGTATTGTCGTCGATCTCATTCTTTTGTGATATTTTAAAGCTTACTCCAAGTCCATGGAATCCTCAGATGATATCTACTGTGTGTGCGTGTGTATCCATGTTTAAGATAGTGCCTGATCTGAGTTGCATTGTAAGATTGTACTGTATGGAGGATAAACTGAACTGCTATACACTCACATCAGGTATGTGGGATCTACTCGCGATAAATAGTAGTGTCAATTGAGTTGGGTTGATTGTAAAAAGGTTCGGAATGGCCTGGAACTATTCTACACTCTTGCCCAAAATTCGAAAACAATTTTCAGGTGGCCAGAAAAGAATAAAGATCTCAAAGTCCTATTTTTCTTTTTGTTTTTAAACGAAGCTTTCTAGTTCAAAATTGGCCTTTCAAAAAAAAAAAAATGCCTTTTTTGTTGAGTCTTCTTTACAATGTCCGGGTCGATTGCTAATTTGTAATGTGAATTTTACAAAGTACACTCTCGGTATTTGGTGTATTTATGTATTGCATGTCGCGTTTTTAAAATTTACAGATCCTATTTCATAAATAAGTAACAACTTTTGTTAAAGGTTTTATAATTTTTTTCATTAAAAATAGTTAAAATAGATCAAATCGATCATAATTGAAAACATGGAAGGGGCGTATTAAAATACTCAATTTAGGTATATTCAATTATTGTTATAATTGCATATTTGTGAATTTTTAGCACATGGAGCTTTTTGTAACCTTTATGCAAAATATAGTATGTCAAATTTAAATTCATAAAAACAACTACTAATAACTATTTTTAGTAAAGTTAAGATCTATTTGGCATGACTTTTGACAAGTCAAAATGAGTTTTTGAGATCTAAAAGTTGTTTTACCCGTTTGACTAATTTTACGAAAGTATTTCTTCTAATTAGAAGAGTTTTTTTTAAAAAAAAATTGGTTTAATGTAATTTTCTCTAAAAGTACTTTCGGAATTTGAAACTCTTTTAGAAATTAGTTTTCAAACAAAAAATTCAAGTAACTTTCTTACAAAACTCAAAACTCTTCTAAAATCATGCCAAACTTGTCATTAATCTTTTGGATGAAAAGAAAAAAAGACTTGCAATATAGGTTCACACTTCTTTTTGCCATCTTCAAAAAGATAAGTTGGTCTTAGCTTATAGTATTAATTGTATGATCACCCCTCATATATACAAATGTCCAAATCTCCATTAGATTCATGAGTACGATCTGTCGCTTCAAATCTTGAGTACCCGCTAAAGTTGAAAGACGAAATATTCATAAAGTTCATGTGGACACTACGAGACGATTAAGTGATAATTTAGGCAATTTTTCATAATTGAAAACTTATGCAAGACTAGTACGATCAAAGACCAACTTTTCTTTTTAATGGGAGAAAATTATCCATATTGTCACTAAACTTTACAAAAGGTGCTCATGGGATCACCGAACTTAAAAAATCACTCACGAACTTTGCCATTCGCAATACCGTTCATCATTGAGCTCAAGATCGTTTAAAAACTGGATGAAATGCTAACTTGACACTACAAATTAGATGGTGGATGCCAAATAGGAGAATCGTTACTCACGTGGCTTTGAATACACATTTTCTTTCCAAAAAAAAAAAACCCAAAAACCGTAAAACATGTTTTAAACCCAATGCCAACGCCTTACCCATTCCACGAATCAAAATCAACCCAAAATCAAAAACTCTCCCCAAGAATCTTAATCCCCAAATCGCGAGACCGGAATTCCTTCACCAGTAGCCGTCTTCAGTTGAATGTAGCCCAAGCTTAGCTCAAGGATCACGATGGTTCAATTGTAAGTCCCTATTAACCCCTTCATAAACTCCGTCATTCGAAGTTATGGAGACGTCGTTCGATTCCAACCGTTCCTATTACACCGAATAATTTCGGTCAGGTGATTTGGGGATTTGGGTTCTTGGGGAGAGTTTTGATATTGGGTTGATTTTGATTTGTGAAACGAGTAAGGTGTTGGTGTTGGGTTTAAAACCCGTTTTACGGTTTTTGGATTTTTTTTTCCTTTTTGGAAAGAAAACGTGTTTTCAAAGATACGCGAGTAGTGATTCTCCTATTTGACATCCACCATTTGATTTGTAGTGTCACGCCAGTATTTCGTCCAATTTTTAAATAGCCGTGAGTTCAGTGATGAACACAATTACGAATGGGAAAGTTCAGTGATAGATGAGGTGATTTTTAAGTTCAGTGACCCCATAGAAACTTTTTATAAAGTTCAATGACTATTTGGATAATTCTCTCTTTTTAATGAGGGAGTAGGAGTTGAGGAGATATTGAGCCTTAATCGGCTGACATATGTCCCTAGTTAATTCAATAGGATGATGTTTCGTGTTTGTTTATTTATTTTTTATTCTCACCCTGGAGGTTTAACAAAAACAAGTGTCATGTTCGAACCAATATTATAGATTTTCGAGAAAAATAACATGCTTGGTATACAACATCTTTTACACCATGTCACGTGATATGTATTTATTTCACAGTTAAAGTAATTTCTCTTTCAAACCAATATTTTTTGTCACTTACCAACATTGTTGACAATGTTGTAAGAAAATATTGTAAAAATGGCTTTTCCCAAACAATAATTGGGCCGATATTGTTTCTTTTTGAGTATTAATGCGTGGGAAAAAAAATCATATTTAAGGTGTTTTCTTTACCTCAATTTAAAAATAAGGTAAATAGTTTAAAAATTCAAAAATCAGGTATTTATTTAATTAATTAAAAATATTTATTAAATAAAGATAATAAAGTCACATTTTGTGATTAATGGTCACATATTCATAATTTTAAGTTACAGATTTATTTACTGGTCACATATCGTCAAATTTTTTGATCCCAAATTATTTCGAGGTCACATATCAAAAAATTTGTACGTCACAAATTATTTCGAGGTCATAGATTTTTAAATTAGTTGATCACATATTATTTCGAGGTCACAGATTATTAAATTTTTAGGTCACATTTGAGTAATTGGTCACAGATTGACAAAAATTTGGTCACAGACCACCGATACTTGATCACAGGTCACAGATCGACCAACACAGACTACCCAGCCACAGAACACACGACTGAACCCCAACATCGATAGATCCACCACCACCAAAAGCTAACCACAACCACCACCTCTAGCTAACAGCCAACCACAACCACCAGCCAACAATAGATCCACCACCACCAACAGCCAACCACAACCACCACCGCCAGCCAACAACAATAGATCCACCAACCTCAACAAAAATAGACCAACAGCCAACCACAACCACCACCACCAGCCAACAATAGATCCACCACCACCAACGGCCAACCACAACCACCACCGCCAGCTAACAACAATAGATCCACCAACCCCAACAACAATATACCAACAGCCAACCACAACCACCATCACCAACAGCCAACAACAGCAATTCGCCACACCCACGGCGTCGAAGCAACCCACCCACACATCCCAACAGCGTCGCGGTTGGCTGATCCGCCACACCCAGAATCGCAGCAGCAGCTGCTGCAATTCCAGATTCGCAGCTGCTGCTGCGAATCGCGATTCGCACCAGCAACAGCTGCGAATCGAAGTAGAGTGGGGTATGGGGAGGTGGAGGGGAGGGGTGAAATGGCGGTGGAGACTGGAAGGGAGAGGGGAGGAGAGAGCAGGCGAGGGTAAGAGAGAGAGGGGAGGGGGTTGTGTGAAAAATTAGGGTTAGAGTGTTTATATAGTACCTGATTTTTGAAGATTGACATTTAGTCCCTAATTTTTGAATTTGAAACTTTAAACACCTGGGTCCATGTAATTTCCTCTTAACGCGTCGAGTCTTTACAGAAAAGTATTTAATCCATCAAATCCAAATTCTTGTATCCGAAGGAAAAACCAACGTATAAATATCGTGGGTGAAGCAACACCACATGCACGGACCCATTACGCACATGTACAAACAAGTGTATATGCAAACATATTCTCTTCACTCTTCACATTCGCAACAATTCACACCTGGGTTTTTCAAAATTTTTGTATTATACGCGTATTTGTGGGTTCTTGAATCCAATGAATATTTACTGTAGCAGATGAGAATCGAGTACCTTGGGGTAATAACAGGAAATTGTTATACGAGCCCGGAAATTTTTGGCCGGTGATAGGGTCGGGTCATGTATACAGCTAATTTAATCGGGTTCGTGTTGGCTGTGGCCTCGAGTGCTTTCATTGGATCCAGTTTTATCATCAAGAAGAAGGGTCTCCAGAGAGCCAGAGCCTCTGGCTGTCGTGCCAGTAAGTATTAATTTTTCTGCTAATTTTTCCCTTTTTCTTTTCCTAATTAAAGAAAAAATTGCTGATTTTTTGTTTTGTTTTGTGGGGAAAAAAAGTGAAAATTTGATGTTGTACCATTTGCTTCAGTTTTCGTACCTGGTTCTGGATTAGTAGTATTTTTTCATTTCAATTCATCTTGTCTCTTTGTGAATTGTAGAAATTATTTTTCTCATTTTCTTAATGTGATGATTTTTTTGATGTCGTACCATCTTATTCTGCTTTTCTACCTGGTTCTGGAACTATACCCATTAAATTTTCCCACAAAGAAATAAAGAAATGAGATCAATGAGATCAGTAGTATACACTGTGTACAATTGGGTTTGATATTGCTCCATGAATAATTAAATTTTTATTGAATTCACATATTAATTACTTTTCTAGTGGTAATTTAGTGATTGAGTGCAGCCCTATTGAAGAGGTTGCAGTAAATAAAAGAAAAAAATTGTGTGCTTAGTGAGTAGCAGTAATAAATAAGTAAAAGTTACTTTACTTGCTGAGGTATTCTTCGGGGGATTTGAGTAGTAGGGACTGTGAAGCATACTTGATGACATGAATCTGTTATTTCACTTAGTTAGGTAAGTTGCTACATTTACTGGAAGCTTCAATTCAATTGGATCATTTGGAACCACAACAGAATTATCTTAGTTTCGATCTGCCTCTTCCTTTTCAAACTTGTTCTATGAGATCTATCTACACTTGCAAACAAGAATTTCTTTAAGATATTGTCATTTGACGAATTAAAACTCACTATGTCTCATGAGTCGTTATATATGGGAGTTTTTTGCAACATTCATCTTTATTCATTGGTATTTTATGAAATAATAGAATCACCTAAGTTGGCCTTTCCATATATACTACTAAGCATAGCACGCATTAGATGAACAAATATCATAAAGCATAGCATGACATTTAACGACACAACACTCAACAATGCTTTAATCTTTAGTTTCTTATTGAATAATTTTGTTAGCCATAAACTACAACCTCATCCATACTTTGATATAGGAATTCATTTTCATCCTCTTCATGGTCTCCCCCTTTCATGACCTGAATTCTTCGTCTTTAATACCATTGACTTGGTTTAGATATCTATCTCATTTTGCCCTTTTTCAAGATATATTGTAAATATCTGTGCCCAATCCTTTATTCCAAGATGGCCATACAACTTCTCACATGCTTCCGCATTGGGCTTCGAATTTATTCGGCAAAAAGGATTTTGAAATAATACAAAATGTTCTTGTTAAATTTTTTTCCTCTTAAACATATATGCAAATGCAGTTTTGAGATATTGATGTCATAAAGCTGTTGTTTTGATGTTATTTTAATGGTGTTATTTCAATCATTTTTGAAGACTCAGGAGGATATGGATATCTACTAGAACCTCTTTGGTGGATTGGCATGATAACTAGTAAGCCTTATCTTTGTTAAAAATCTTTGACTAGATATTTCTGGAAATGCTTCTATCTGCTTAAATTTGAACTAGATTCATTGTACAAAATTGTACAGTGATTGTTGGAGAATTTGCCAATTTCGTAGCATACATGTATGCTCCTGCTGTCCTTGTGACACCGCTTGGCGCATTAAGTATAATTGTCAGGTAGATACGCATTACACGATGCTTCCATCCCAAATCCCTCCCCTCTAAAACAAAGGACAAGAAAAGAGTGTCATTTCGAATTTCAAATTTTATGCTGCACGAGTAATTATGTAAGCTGAAGTACTGTTTATTTAATTGACAGTGCTGTTTTAGCTCATTTTCTGTTGAAAGAAAAATTGTGGAAGTTAGGAATATTGGGATGTGTTTTGTGTGTAGTAGGTTCTACTGTCATCGTGCTTCATGCACCTGCTGAACATGGTATTAGTTCTGTGGAAGAAATCTGGGAATTAGCAATACAGCCAGGTGAACATATTTCCCCAAGAGCTGTATTTAAATTATCTCTATTTTAATGTTATACTCACAACAGAAAACAAAAGACTGCCTTTTGATATTTCTTCTCCCCTCTTGGTTCAGCTTTTCTTTTGTATACAGCTTCAGTAGTAGCAGTGGTCTTGGTACTGATTTTGTATTGCGAACCACGTTATGGGCAGACATATATCTTGGTTTATATTGGCGTTTGTTCTATAATTGGATCCTTAACGGTTAGTACATTTCTTATCACTGTTATATCAAAGAAAAGATATTCATGTGTTAAGCAAGTTGCTTCCCTAAATTACAAGCAAAGGGAGCAAAAGGGCTTATTACATTAGAAGAGGGTAGAATAAACATAATTGTTCAAAAAGTGTTGGCCAGGTAAAAATAATTAGAAACGTTTGGATTGGTGCAAATTCTGGAAATTATTGTGATGATTGGATATCGAACTCAAGGCCAAAACGTAGGCGAAATGATTAGAGATATTTTGTGTTATTTTAAGGCTAGGTCTTAACTATGTGGTAAATGAACCGGAAAACATAAACAAAGGAGCTTGTCGGAGTTAAGATCTGATTGCCCTCAACGTTGCATTATGTATTTCTGGATGAACTCAAAGAGCTTCTGAAAATTTGTTTTCCATCGAGCAGGAACAACCTTAGTGGCATTTCAACTCTCTAATTATGCTAAATTACATTCATGAGCTTGGTTTTCACTGGCAAAATCTGTATAATTACATATGTATGGGTAAAGGAATTCTTGCCTTCAGCATTGATGGCTTATTTTAGGCATGGAAATCAATTGATTCAATGAATCTCGTGATTCTGAACCAAAATAAGAAAAAATATAAACTAGTATACTGTCATGCGTTGTCGGTCAAAACTCGAGCAATAGGAAGAATTTATTGGCTTAATCCATGACAGTTTTTGTGGGTCATTGCAGGTTATGAGCATTAAAGCAATAGGTATTGCTATTAAACTTACTTTGGAAGGCTCAAGCCAGGTTGTGCGCTACCAAACGTGGATATTTTCCATGGTTGCAGTTTCATGCATAATTACTCAGTTAAACTACTTAAACAAGGTTGCTTCCTTTTTTCCCCCCGTGATTTTTTGCTTTATTTTTTTACTCATCAAATGTTCGTGTGCCTGTATACGTACATAGATAAGTTGCTTCACTTCTGTACATATCTATATGTACTCCAATTTTTGACAAGTTCTTCACTTGTTCTTCAACTTCTGCGGATACTTAAACAACGCTAAGTAGATGTAGGAATTAAATATAAATACTGCTGTTTCTTGATTGATGATGGATTATTTTGTTTAAAATTTCCAAATTAACTCCTGTAATTAAGCGACCTTTTCAGGTTCTGGATACTTGCATTCACAAGATTTTCTTCCCTCATCTAACTCCTTAGAGTTAAATGGTCTCAAGATTGGCTTCAAGGAGAAGCAAAAGTAGCTAGGTATTTATAGATATGCTACAGTTCCCCGCGGCCCAAACCCAGTGCTGCATTAGGTTAGGGAGCTGGACGACAATTTCTCTTCCGCATCCCCTTCCTTGACGTGCAACACTAAGTAAACAGAGAGTACACTTTTGAATAAAAGCTGCTGGCTGCAAGGTTTTATCCATTGCATTTTCTTGAGGCGTATTGCGATGTCTTCTTGTAGTACACTAGATTTATTGTTTCTGTTTATATACTTAGAAAAGTATGCTTACGTCACTCATTGTATATTCAGATGCATTTTATATGTAAATTAAAGGAAAACAAAGAAGTGTCTTGCACCTGTAGTTTATTCCCATCTATTATGGAGTTACATATGAGATTAAAAGTCTCAGTCGAACTTCATTCTGTTGAGTCAAACAGAAAGATGTGTAAAATTGCAGTTTCTCCTATTAGAGCATGCTCTTTTTTGAATCACGTTGATCATTTTGAGAAATACTTCCCACCTGTAAGCAAAAAAAAAATTGAGTTATGCCGAAACAAGTGATTATCTTTATTGTAAAGATTGGATGGGGAGTAATTCAACAATAGGATTGGAAATGTGTGCATATATTAGAGATAATATTTGAATTCTGGTCTACTTATATAGTGTGTGCAGTCAATTCATTATTTTCATCCTTTTTTTTGTTTTTGTGAGTTCTCTTGGATTTGGTCAAGCTTTAGATCAAATTCCAGTAATTGATTTTCAAATGTGGTTTGTCTTCAGGCCTTGGATACATTCAACACTGCTGTTGTTTCCCCAATCTATTATGCCCTGTTCACATCACTCACTATTTTTGCCAGTGCCATAATGTTCAAGGTATATAAGCATGTTTGGCATGCAGCATTAGAAACAACAGGATGGTACAATGGTCAAGATTTTATGTTCTTTCTCCTTTTACACCGTCCAATCCACCTTCCAAAATGCACTAGTAATGTCTTGCAAAACCATTTCCATTTCTGTTTAAACATCAATATGCTTCTGCTACTCTAGGATTGGTCTGGTCAAACACGATCGTCGTAACAAAGCCAAGATTGTGGATTCATGACTGTTCTTTCGGGTACAATGATTTTGCACAGTACCAGAGATCAAGAAAAACCTCCAGCTGCAGGTACATACACCTCACCATGAACATACAGTTCGAGAAAAAGGTGCAATAATTTGCCCGTTCGCTTTGTTTTCATTCCATTCTGCACATGCTATTGATGAGTGCCGCAAATAGCTTCTACCAATTCCAACCATTTTACTATTTGAGCACTTAATTTCTCAAATTATGTCTTTGCTTCCTTTATGTTCAGAATATTTAGTTGGAACTTGGAAATATATTATATTTTTATTGAGATCTAATAAATTAACAGAGCCAGATGGTTTGTAGTCCTATGCTAGATTTTATTGGAATGTTTTGTTGCTTTGTACCAGCCACCGGGCACAAAATCCCGAAGCATCCTCGTGTATTACTTCCACACCCCCCCCCCCCCCCCCNCCCCCCCCCCCCCCCCCCCCCCAATTCCCCTTTGATTTATATTTTTAAAGGTTGAATATAAAAATAAAAAATAAAAATACGTGGAATGTTAATCTTCATGTTTTCAAGTAGAGCTCTCTAAACGTAAAGTTGCTGACTCTATTGATAACTTGCAGATGCGTATTCAGCACTTTCTCCTCAAATATCATGGATGGTTCATGCTAATGGCGAAATATGGAAGCAAAAAGAGACCGATGAATTGCATCCCGAATTTGTAGCAATAATTCGACAAGACCATTTCAGATAAGGGCAAAAGGAACTCGAATAACAGTCACTCCTCTCTGTGCTGTGATCATGAACTTTGAGCGGGTGTTTGGCATGCAATATCGGACATGAGCAGATAGTCTAACGAACAAGATCTTAGCTTCTTTTCCATTGTTAGTACTATATAGTGCTATCTAATTATTTCTACCAAATATGCCCGAGTGATGGAGATTTGGAGATTCTAGTCCACTCTTCAGAAAATTTGTTTCCCTAGAGTAGAGAGTTTTCAACCCCATTTGACCCCATTAAAACTATAATACATTTTTTCCTCTCTTCTTTTCAACCACACTTTCTCCAATAAATTAATATTACACGTAAATTAATTTTTTTTTTTTCAACCACTCATTCTCCCAAAAAAAAANCTCATGCTCCCAAAAAAAAAAAAAACACCATTTCAAAAGTTATAATACCAAATAATGGGGGCCAAACGGGGTTCAAATGTTGAATTCTTTCCCATTGCAATAGGTATTTTCCATTCTGGGCTTGATAGATAGAGGCTAGCTGTAAATTTATATCGAGTTATTCTTTGTCTTTGTACTAATTCTCAAACAGACTATTGCTGAAACATTATAACTAGGAGATCTCAAGTATTATCAAACCCTGGCGTAAAAATGAAAAGAAAAAAGAAATTCTCAAATCTCTTCGGCGTTCTTCAACTCATTGTTATCTGTTTGATGGTTGCGTGCCTGCTGCTGAATTATATTTCGTAATATATTCATTTCAACTGAATATGATGAGCAATATTTGAGATGATACTCGTATTTTTTATGCCAATAGTTAGTTGTATTTGTCAGGTTCCCATAATTATAATAATGTCACGTACCTTTGTTGTTGGTTGCAACAAGTTTGATTGCTTGCTATGCCTATATGCAACTTGTGGTCCATTGGTTACATGTAGTGCTTGTTTGGTAGTGCTTTTAAATGTTAATAAGATGTGGGTTCTATGAAATGTGTTACATAACTTGAGGTGCTTTAAAGCATCTTTTAAACTAGGCAAACATGCTCGTAAATCGTAGTGTCTAGTATGAATTGATACTACATTTTTCTACCATCAGGTGAGTATACTTCTGATGTAATGAGAGCCTTCATGCTCAAACTCAAGCTTTGATGGTCACTAGTCCCAGAAAATGATCCTCCATTCTTCTACAGGCTCCTTGGATTGTTTGCTTTAATAGCTCGTTCAACTTAGAGGAGATGTTTGCCATCATAGTATAACCGACTTACATTTCTTTATGAGCATTTAGGACGTCTCTGGGACAAATACGAGGTTATGCTTCTAACATAAACATGTCCAGCTTGGGGGGGGGGGGGGGGGGGNATAACAACTGCCATGACCCAGTGGTGTGATACTGACTGTAATCTAGTTTCTGATTTCCCCCGGATTTTCATATGAAAATAGATCTCTCTACAAACTTGATGGTCGAGTATATTAACTGAATCTGTATATTTCGCTTGAAAATGGTTGCTGAAGGGAAAAAAAAGGGAGAAGAAAAAAAGTTACCTAATCGTGCTGAGCCATCTCCATCCCACATTGATAAAACTGCTTACTTTTTCGTTTTGTTTTTGGGACAAAATTATGTTTATCGAGCCTCTACTCTACCTATAACAGAAAGGAAGTTCCCCCTTCAGATTTTTGTCCTGAAGCCAAATATGAATTTGCTGCTGTTTGAGATGGAGCGGATGAATTCAACACAGTTTGGAATGATGACACCATAGGGAGAACCTGAACTTGACCAATAGCACTAATCGATTTTTTGGCCGTAGATGAGGGTGGTGTACGTATTTCAGAAATCCCTTCGAGCATCTGCACGACTTTTCCCATCGTAGGTCTAAGAGATGGTTGCTCTTGGATGCACCAAAAGCTTATTTGAATCGCTCTTATAACTTGTTCTGTGTTGACCTCGTGTCTAAGAAGCCTTTTATCAAGAATTGCCTCAATGTTGCCCTTCTCAAACTCTTCATACGCCCACAACGAAAGCTTTTTGTGATTAGTCTCGGCCGAAACTTCAAAATTCCTTCTCCGACTTATGATTTCTAACACCAGCATTCCATAACTATAAACATCATCTTTTGAAGTAACTGGAAGATTTGCTAGCCATTCCGGGGGTAAGTACCCTCTTGACCCCCTCACGGACAGCATTGCTCGGTGTCTCTGCCCATTTGTGTTTATGAGTCGTGCTAGGCCAAAATCCGAGATCCTAGCATTATAATTTTCATCCAAGAGAATATTCTCGGGTTTTATATCAGAATGAACAATAGGGTCACGACATTCCTCGTGAAGGTAGGTAATCCCTTTTACAGTTCCGAGTACAATGTTATACTGATATCTCCAATATAGAACTTCCTTACATGAGAGCTCATCCGAAATAAAGATGAACTTACTCAGAGAACCGTTTTTCATGAACTCGTATACCAATAATCTATGACGCCCTTCGTTGCAAAATCCTAATAGTCTTACCAAATTTAAATGGTGAGTACTTCTAATTGTCACAACCTCCATCCTAAACTGTTTCTCACCCTGCTCAATCCCTTCGAGTTGCTTCACTGCAGCCACAGTTTTATTTGTGAGGACCCCTAGATAAACATCACCAAATCCTCCTTCTCCAAGCTTTTCCTTGAATCCCTTTGTAGCCTGTTGGAGCTCCTTGTATGAGAAGTGAACCGGAAGAGCAGAAGCAAAGAATGAATCTCGGGAAGGTAACCCTTCGAATTTAGGTTTTCGACTACAGAAAAACACCCAAAACACACATGCTGAAATAACCAGTGTCAAACTGCAGCCTAAAAGCACAACCGAGATTTCCAATGCATGATAATTGTTATGAACATCTCTTGAAGAAAGAGGAGGAATAGGCATAGCTGGCTCACACACCTTGACATACGACGTGCTAGTAAGTGTTGGCGACTGATATCCATAAATTCTGATATTTTCAAATAGCAAACACCTGTCCCATCCGCTAAGGAAGTTGAACCCATACACAAATTATCCGAGAGACATAAAGACCAGCACGCCGTGATACTTGCCGTGATACTTCCTGTGAAATACTGTGAACTTTTCTCAAGAGGGTACGTTAATAACGTAGCACGATCCAACGACAACATTGCTCGAGCGGAACAATTTTCAATATCCACTTTCCTCTTACAACCTTTCCTAAGATCATTTGGGTCAATCGGATCAAAATTCTGCGATGGACATCCACATACCGGATTGAAGTCATCATATTATAGCTACAAATTCCCACATTCCCACAATAACCAAAAACTTGACACTGGTCACTAACAGCAGTACATCTCACAATTTTGTTTCTTTGTTTCTATTAGAATCCCACATTGCTTGGGAAAATATAAATGATCCACTTTATAAGGCGAGGGCAATTCTCCCCTAATAAGCCGGTTTTATTAGGTGGAGTTAGGCCCAATATTTCTAACATGGTATCAGAGCTAGGCCCAATTATGCAATGTTGGGTGCCACCCAATATCAATTTGTTCACAGTTGTTTGGCATGCTTCACGCTGTGCTTGAGGGGGCGTATTCGAATCCCACATTGTTTGGGAAAATATAAATAATCCACTTTATAAGGTGAGGGCAATCCTCCCCTAATAAGCCGGTTTTATTAGGTGGAGTTAGGCCCAATATTTCTAACAGTTTCCACTTCCGTTAATCCTAGCAGAGCTATAAGTTCTCAAATTCCCATCACTCTCCAACTTCACGAACCGAATAGAATCATCAGTAACTTCACCATAATCACTGCTACGAGCCATAGTCAATGGACTCGAAAGCATTGGGTCAAAAAGTGAAAAGATCCCAACTGGTTGTTGAAGGACTAAGCTCGGAGAAGTCAAGTTCGTGTTAGCTAATGAACCACTAATCCCAGTAGAGGAATAGTAGACAATCGAATCATTCCATTGAAGAATCATGTTTCCAGACGATAACAGGCGAAACGAATATAATCCGATCGCAAAACATGGTTGACAGTAAAGTTTTGCCCTGGGAGAATTGTATCAGAAGGATTATCGAAGGTTGTCCATATTTGAATACTTCCATTTCGGAGTATGAAGTTGCCCGAATCATCAAGTTTACCCGTGGAGACTTCTCGTCCAGCGGTATTCGACTGCCAGACCAGAAAACCTTGTAGGGGAAAAATAACATTCCACAGGGTGATAAATGCAGTGAAATAGAAGAGGAAATAGAACATAGAAAATACAAATTTACATGGTACGTCAAATTCTTGGACAAACCTGTCGAGGTGTAGACGAGCTGAAGGTTTCCGTCGGGGAGGAAGCGGAGGGCGGCGGAGGAATTTACAGCACCACCTGGATCTCCACCAGCTTTCCAAACGGGAATTCCATTGTATATTATTGCAGCAAAGTAGGTGTTTTCAGCTTCCTGAATGAAGGAAAGTATGAAGGTTTTGTTTGGGGAATCCCGTGAATTTTCTGAATTAGATGCATGAAGTGTTGAACCTGGAAATACATCTGCTGCTGATATTATTGCTGGGAAGAAGATGAAAATCAGACAAAATGGGATCTTCATTTTTTTTCTTCTCTCTTGAAATTTCGAATACATTAAGGATGAAATTCAGAAAAAGCGATAGAACAAAATGTTCATCAAGATATGATTTCAAGAACAGAAATTGACTGTGCCTTTGCCAAGACCCCACTTCGCCCATCTAATTTTTTTATTTTTTATTTTTTATATATATCCAGGTATCCTAACTTACACTAGACTAAGTCCTGGACCACCCATCCCCGGCCCCTCAGTGATGGGTGGAGGTTAATCGCGGGATATGCCCAAATTGACCAGGGTCTGTGCACCCTTTATACTCCTGACACCAAGGGAACCTTCCTCCATGATTATTACATCACCAAGCTGCTCCACCCAAATTGAGTATTACAACACTCAGCTGATCCATCCAGGAATCGAACTCCCCACCCTGAGGTTGTAAGCCCAGCAGTGTCCATCCTTTGCCAACTTGGATGTGCCCCGGGGGGCTTATTGAGGTGGTTGTTTGTCATAACATTAGCATTTATGACTGAATAAGCAGTCTAATACACTGCTGCAGAAAAGTTAGGTAGAAATAACGCTATCATTCAGTTTAAGCACCACTTTTTAAAATGAATTTTGTAATAATAATATTTTGGAGGAATATGTGGTTAAAAGAATGGTTTTTGTTTCATGAAAATACGTCATTTTTCCACCCAAATGATAGCCCAAAATAACTAAACCAAAAGAGGGTAAACTGATTTTTAAAACTTTTTTGAAGAATTAATCTAAAATTCAAGCAAGTAAAGTTTAAATAAATTAATTCAAATAATAAACATAAATATGAGAACGATAAGTAAAATGGAAGAAAAGATGCAAACAATACAATTGTGAAGGTTCGATCCAAAGCAGTGATCTACGTTCTCCATTACCAAACTCTCCGATACGAGCAATGTTTTTTCACTATATTGATTGACTTATGGTGCAATTCAACCATTTACATCGCTTTCGATGACTTACAAATAAGGAGCACCGATCCTTTTACAATATTGAGCTTTACAAGATTTTGATATGACCCTCACTATTGAGCTTACGGTAACTTACAATAAGAAGTATTGATCTTTATACTATTGAGCTTTCACGGAACCTCAATATATACGACAAACAAATTTAGAGTAAATGATTTTACAACGAAATTTTTCTCTTAATAAATGATACAAATGAATTAAGTATTAATAGATGTTAACACTTTAATGAATAGTAATAAATGATAGCTCAAATATTAAATGAAAAACTTTTATATATATGATATGATAATAGAAATTTGATTCAATCAATCAAAGTTTTTCAATGAGAAGATGATGAAGAAATAAATGCAATGTATGTTCAAAAATCTTCTCGAGACATATCTATCTTTTAATGAAGAATTGTAATAAATTAAGTACTAAGAGATAAATAAGCAACTTTGATTAATATGATGATTTCATAAGTTTGAGTCAATCAATTAAAGTTTTCAATATGAAGAAGTAGAAAAATTTATGCAATATAAGTACAAAGATATTTTTCAAAAATATATCTCTCTTTTAAGATTGATATAAATAAATTAATCAGAAAGAGAAATGAAAAATTTTGATGAGAGAAATGATTTAAAAAGTTGGATTCAACAATCAAAGTTTTTGTTATTAAAAAATATATGAAATGAATGTAAAAATATAAGTTCAAAGAAGATTTTTCACAAAATATTTCACAAGAAAGCTCTCTTCTAGTTGTTTTATGAATGCAAAGTGAAGTGGTATTTATAGTAGTCAAAACGACCAAAGTTTTGGCAAATCGAACGACCCATTCGGACGTCAGCATCCTTAACCGGACGACCCAACTAGCCGTTGCGCGTCAGAAATCAAAACGGTTAAAAAAATGACCATTGGCGAACCGGACGTCCGCATGGTCAATCGAATGTCCGATTTGACTTTGACATTTTAAAAAGTTTAAATATCAATTTGAAATTCTTACCCTTCAAAAAAATATTTTTTTATGCAAGTATTTTTATGAAATAATCTTTTCGTGAATAAAATGATTTTTGAGCTTTTATCATTCATTACTAAATATCAAAGTATTAGTACATTTATATTTGA